GGGGGAGGGGAAACCCGGGCAAAATGAGGGACACACGTGAGAGTGATGACACCGGTCAGGTTGAGGTTGAAATAGGACTGCAGGGTGTCGGGGCAGGCGCCGGCCTTGTCAATGCGGTCGGAAATGTTCCCCAGGGAGCCGGCATTGTTGACGAGCATCACTCGGCCGAAGACATCGCCGGCGGCGGCCAGCATCTCGGCCATGCGCGGGACAACCTTCTGGCTGATGGCGCCGAGGTCCGAGAGGTCGGCCGACAGGAGGGACACTGCATGCGCCAGAGCGGGAGAGGGTGGCCGGGGAACACGACAGAGAGAGAGAGAGAGAGGGGGGGGGGGACGGAAGTGAGCGGAGGCGGCAACAACGGAAGCGCCGGAGGCAGGCCCGGGCGACCTCACGGAGCGCAGGCGAGAAAGGACAAGCGCGCACCGTTGGCCTCAATGCCGGACTCCTCCATAAGGGTCTTGGTCTGAGCCAGCTGCTCGGTCGAGCGAGCCACCAGCAGGAAGGTCGACCCAGCCGGGGCAAGGCCCGCGCGGGTGAGCAGGCCACGGGCCATGGCACGGCCGAAGCCGCTGCTGGCACCGGTGATCACGACGAACCAGGGCTTGGGGGACATGGTGACGGAGGCAGGGAAAGGCGAGGGAGGCAGCGCGAGGGGTGCACAGGCAGGGGGGGGGGGGGGGGGGGGGGGGGGGGGCGCGGGAGGGGCGATGTGATGCGAGATCTGGCGAGCCATGGAACCCCTGGCCAGCCAGGCGTGCGGGGGCATGCCGGCTGAATAGTGGACCGCCTGAGGAGGGTGGGCAGCCGATGATGGCTGGGCGTGCATGCGCGCAAGTGCCTGTCGGAGGGGCGCACACACGCACGCACGCAAACATGCGCTTGCACCGAACACGAGGCAGGTCGCCGGCCGACACCGCCCCAGACCACCGGCCGGGACCGGGTTCGCTGCGCCAGCCTGTCGGCGATCGGCCGGCGGCGGCTTACCAGAGGGCAGATGTGCCAACCCCCAGCCCGGCCGGTCCCAGGTGCGCCCCCCATTCGCATGGAGGCCAATGATGAGCGAATATAAAAAGCCCGGAAATAGCTCGCGCCCGCGCTTTGTCGAATGGCCCCCTGGAGGGGACGGGGCGAGGGGCGGCCATGGTGGTTAGCCCTTTCGGGTGCCAACCCACAGGTGCACAAGGCGATCTCGCCAGCCGCACACCCTCTACTGCCTTGTCTCCCCCCTCCCCCAGATCGGAAGAGCACACGTAGCCCGGAAATAGCTCGCGCCCGCGCTTTGTCGAATGGCCCCCTGGAGGGGACGGGGCGAGGGGCGGCCATGGTGGTTAGCCCTTTCGGGTGCCAACCCACAGGTGCACAAGGCGATCCCGCCAGCCGCACACCCTCTACTGCCTTGTCTCCCCCCTCCCCCCCCCCCGCCCACCTGCCGCCACGTTCGTTGCCTGTCTGTGCGTTCGCGCATTGCCGCGGCCCCTTCCCCTCTCCTGCCCCTCCGCCCCCCCCCCGCCTCGGCGCCCCGCCGCCCGCTGGCCTCCATGACACCCCGCCCCGGCGCCGTCCGACGCCTGCTGGCCGTATGCCAGGATCTGTTGACCGTTCCCGGGACGGATCCCTGCCTGTGGGCACTCGGCGGCCGGGGGCGTGGCGCCTGCACGGGCGGCATGTGTCGGGCTGCTTGCCTCCTCCTGGCGCCCTTCTCCGCGGTGCCGCCGTTCATCGTCATCGCCCACGTGGCGGCCATCGGGGTGGGGCTGTTAAGCGGGTGGGCTCGGGCCTCGCCCGGCGCGGGGCCCGCCGGGTTGACCGCCACACCGGTGGCCGAGGCCCGCCTGGCCGGGCAGCTCCTCAGCCACCTGGGCTTCTGGGTGTGTGAGGTCCTGGCCCAGGTGCTGAAGCGCCTCGTCCGCCAGGCCCGGCCGGTGTCGCTGGCCAGCGGGCCGGTGCCGCTGGCCTCCGGTCACGGATGGCCCTCCTCACACACGCAGTTCATGGTTTTCTGCCTGGCCTATTTTGGCTGCCTACTGGTGGCGGCCGGCGACCCGGGGGTTCCGGCGAGTGGCCGGCGGCTGGCCGCCTGCCCCGAGGCCGGGCCGTTGGCGCGCCTCCTCCTGCCGCCGGGCACCAGCGGCCACGCGAAGGTCGCCCTCACCGGGCTCCTGGCCGCATTGACCCTGCTGGTGGCCATCCAGCGCCTGGCATTCCAGCGCCACTTCCCGCACCAAGTCCTGGCCGGGGCCTGGGTTGGACTGGCTCTCGCCATCGGCTGGCTGTGGGTTGTGTCCCGGCCGGCGGCCTGGGACCCGGCCCTGCGCCTGGCACGCTGGCTGCTCAGCCTGCCGGGTGTCCTCCTCGGGCCTGGACGCCTCTCGGCCCTCGGCCCCGAGCCCGCGGCCGCCACCACCCGAGCAGACCTCTGATCAGCCTTCCCCCGCCTTTGACACATACACACACGCGCACACGCGCGCACACACACACACATAGACGCCTCGCTCGCCCTCGCCCCCCGAGGCTGAGAGGAGCGGAGAGAGGGCCCCCCGCCCTTGTTTGGGTGTGTGCGATCTAAATAGATGCAACAAAAATGCCCCGCCGCCAGTCGCTGGAATGCAGCCAGCCCCGATCTGCTACTCAAGATCAGCCACCTGTCCAGATCGCCGCCTTCCGCGGCATTTTCGGTGCGCGCTTTCTTCGCGGCCCCCGTTCCCGGGGGCCGGGCGGGGGGAAGGGGCGCCGGCGCGGGGCGGAGCCAAGCACAGGCAGGCTGGGGCACGGGCGCATTTTCCGGCACCAGGCCGTGGGCCTTCCTTGTTCAGCATACTGGCGGTCCTTCCCGATCGGTCCGGTCTGACTGTGTTCGGTCGGCATTGGAGGCTGGGTCGTGGGCCCCGGTGATCGGCCTGGGTGTGTGTGTGTGTGTGTGGGGGGGGGGGGGAAACTTTTGAGCCAGCCCCAGCGAGATCGACATGCCTGCGCCCCGAGGCCATCGCCTCCTCCTCCTCCTCCCCCTCCTGGCTCCTGGCTCCTGCATGCTCCGCCCGCCCGCCCCCCCTCCCCCGAGCTCCCTCCCTTTTCCGCCTCTTTCCTTGTCCCTCCCTCTCTTTGCCCTTTTGCCATGAGCCACCAGCCGCTGGCATGGTCCAACCACATGGGCGGTCCACCGCCTCCGGGGGCAGATTCGGCGGGCTTCGTCTCCACCCACTACGGTGGCCAGCCCCCCGGCCCCCCTTCGCACCACGCCTCCCCGTATCAGCACACCCCCCAAGCATTTTACCACCCCTCTCCGAGGTGCGCACAGCCCGACAAGTGCCCCGATGGCCCGGACCGCCGACATCCCTCCCCTGCCTCGCGCCTTTCAGCTGACCCACCGACGGCATTTCCCGAAACGTCCTGCAGCGGCAGCGACAGCGGCAGCAGCAGCAGCAGCAGCAGCAGCCTCGCCCCGGGGTACTCTGTCCAGCATTCGCCGGCCCCCCAGTGGGCCCAGCCCATTGCCCCCTACGTTGGCCATATCCCTCCGGCCGGCCAGCCGGCGCAGGCCCCCTCCACGTATGGCCCTCCCCCGACCGGCCATGAGTCTCGGCAGTATGGCGGGGCCCCCGGTGCCGCCGATCCATCGGGGCCGCACTCGCAGGCCCCGCACTACCCGCACTATTCGCAGCAGTACCAGCCCCCGCCTCCCCATGTCCCCGCCTATCAGGTGCCCCCGAGCCAGGCCTCCCCGTCGACTTCGCCCTCGGGATCTTCCGTCTCGCTGAGCCGCGGGGGTTTCTCCGGTCCCGGCACCCCGGGCCACCCCCAGCAGCATCCACCCTCGCACCAGCAGCACCCACCCTCGCACCAGCAGCACCACCTGCCCCCTTCCGGGCCCTCGCCAGCCGGAACACCGCGCGTGCAATCCCCGAGCATGGGAGCCGGGAGCAGCCGGGCGCCCGTGCCCGCTCGGCAGCCGACCATCCTGCCGCTGGCGGAGTTCCTCTGGGTGCCAGATCGCGGTCTGCTTAACCATTCGCAGGAAAACAACTGCTTCTTCAATGTGGTCATGCAGATGCTCCTTCATAGCCCGGTGTTCCTGGCCTTCTTCTTCGCCACGCCGAAGCACTCGCCCTTCGACTGCCCGGGTGTGTGTGAGGCTGCCGCCCGGCGCCCCTACCGCGAGGACCCGCCCGGCTTCTGTTTCTTCTGCGCCCTTTTCGTACGGCCCCCTCCCTCCTCGTCAAATGCCGTGTCGACACACCCGACCCACCTGCTCACTGCGTCTCCCTTTTTCCCCGTCTCCTTGCTTCGCTTTCCCCCCTCTCCGCCCTTGTCCTTCTCTCTTCCCTATCCCTCCTCCATCAGGACTTTGTCCATGCCTTCCTTGATCCCGAGGCCCAGAGCCCCGCTTGCCCCGGTCCCATCCGGACTTTCTTCGACAGTCCGGCCACCGGAGCGCGCGCCAAGCGGGCGACCATCTTCGAAGCCGGCAAGCAGCACGACCCGGCCGAGATCCTGGAGGCCATCTTTCGAGAGCTCCATTGGTGTGCTCAAGCATGGGCTGTCCGCCGGAAAATGGGCGAGTCCGGCCACAGTGGGCCCCCGAGTCACCTTCCGACATCCGGAGGGGCCGACGGCGACGCTGGCGCCCCGGGGCTGGGGCCGATGTCCCACCCCACCGACTCCGGCCGGCAGCTGGACCTATCAATCAAGGGGCTCTGCACGCAGACCGCCTGCTTGCCAGACCAGTATGTCGTGCTCTGGGAACCAGGCCCGCTCCCCCTCCCTCCCTCTCGTCTTCTCTCTCTCTCTCTCTCTCTCTCTCTCTTCTCCCCTGCCTTTCCCCACCTTTCTATCCCCCTCCCCTTCGCCCTCGCCTTCTCCCCCATTGCCGCTAA